ATCCACAGAATGAACCTGTGCTGTTTAAAAATGTGAACACAAATCGGAACCAATGAAATATTTTAGATTTGTAACTTTAGTGGTTTTGGAGAGCGCCCTCTAGAGCACGGTGAGAAAATTACCCTGAATGTGGGAAGTTGAGGAGAGACCAGATGGAGGAAACAGTTGCCAGGGCTATGGTCTGAACGTGTGCCCTGAAGTTCATGTGTGGAAACCCAGTGTCCAGTGCAACAGTGTTGAGAGGTGATTAGGCCATCAGGGGTCTGCTGACATGAATGGATTGATGTCATTATTGGCATGGATTAGTCATCCTGAGACCGAGCTTGATACAAAAGCGAGTTTGGTCCCCTCTTGCTCGTGGGCTCTGCTGTCCTTCTGCCATAGGATGGCCTAGCCTGGCGGCCCTGGCCAGATGTGGGCCCCATGATCTTGGATTCTCCAGTCTCCAGAACTGTAAGAAATCAATCTTTGTTCTTTATAAATCAGCCAATCTGTAGTGTTCTATTATAGTAGTGGAAAGCCGACTAGGACAGCCACTTTTTTTTTTTTTTTTTTTTTTAATGATTTTAGCAGTAAGGGAAAGCTAATAAGACTGAAAGGTGAGGTAAGATCTTGGGGTGGTACTTTTCAATTTGGTGGGAATTTATGAGTGCTATTAGAAAAGAGAAGGTGGAATTGAAGATACTGAAAGGGAAAGAAAGAACATGCTGGATGGGTGAACAGGTAGCAAGGGACCCTAGGCATTGACAGATTGAGAGATAGTGTCACTTTGAGCTCAGCAGCATGGTGGGCTGTGAGATGCACTTACATCTTCCTCTCCTGTGGGATACCAGTTTTTAGGTGGTGTCCAAATGCCACTGAGTCAGTCTTCCTTGGTAAAAAATGCATGTTATTAGTAACAGTTGAGACCTGTATTAGGGTATCGAAGGACAGGGCTATTTCCCCTGGGCTTTCTGTTTTAGGGGAGCACACAGAGCTACAGGGTGAGCAGAGAGTCAGCCAGGTAGGTTAATCAGGTGGTGCTAAAACATAACTGTTCAGTCCTCTTCCTCTAAATGTCATTGGGTCTCTGCCTTTCTACATTCACAGGCCTCTCAGAATATGCTCTAGTACCTTCCTTTCCCCTTCAAGACAGCCTTTCATGCTCACTCTACTATTCTTGTTTTGCCTGTAGAAAACATTCTTGGGAGAAGGAGAGACACACGTGGCAGGTTTGCCTTAGGGTCTGCACTGCCAAGGGTGCTCCTGGTTGCAGCTCATAGATCACAGTGCAAGGGAAAGTCATGCTCTCTTTCAAAAGATAAAACGTCTCTTTTTCAAGAAAATTTTACACAGCCAAGTAGAGGCGAGCATATATCCTGTCTCATTTGGTCTTTCTTCCAGGCATAATGCACTCTAGGGTTTGGAATGTGGTAATCTTATAAAGTCACTTTTTTTTCCTCCCAAATTTGACAAGAAACTGTTGAGAGACATGAGGTGAATGGACATACTAGTTTAATCATTACAAAATAAAATAGTTTTACATAGTAAGACAGCTAATTTTTATTGTGTGAGAGGACAGCCCTTTAAGGGAATCTATTACAATTTTCTGTTTTAAAGAAAAAAAAGCTTATTTGAAGCTCCAAATTCCACAAATAACTATATTATTATATACAGACTTATAGGAATCCTTGTGCTATCACCATCAGCAGAGCATAAGCAAAGTCCAGGAAAAATAAAGTATGACCATGGAAAATCAAGCCTTTCAATGTCTTCACAGCACAAAACCACCGTCAGTCATGAAACATGCCCCTGCCTCCTGGACTGTTACTGGAAACTTAGTTCACTAAGTATAATGAGTCAAAAGGGAAGTTATAGGAAAGTATGAGTTCTAGACAGTAAAACACCCATCCCAATGATTCATAATATAAATTGTTTAGCGATAAATGAGAGAAAAAGGAGACTCCCACACATAATAGACA